GTTACCCCAGTTGATAACTTTTACCTTATCATATTTGTCACAATTAAGGAACAAACATTGGTACATTGGTACATTAGTATTAACTAATTAAAATCCACATTTTATTCAGACTTCACTAGTTTTTCCGTAATACCCTTTTTCTGTTCCAGGATCCACCCAGGATATCACATTACATCTTGTCATCATGTCTTCTTAAGTTCCTCTGGTCTGTGACAGTTTCTTAGATTTTCCTTAGTTTTGATGATGTCAGTTTTGAGGAATACTGGTAAGATGTTCTGTAGAACGTTCCTCAGTTCAGATATCTCTCATGTTTTTCTGATTATTAGCCTGGGGTTGTGGGGTTTTAAGAGGAAGACCACAGAGGTGAAGTGATATTCTCATCACGTTGTGTGCAGGGAACATGCCATCATCATGACTTCTCCCTGATGTTGCTGACCTTGGTCACCTGGCCAGGGTAGTGTTTGCAAGGTTCCTCCACTGTAAATGTATTCTCCCCACCCCACCCCACCCCTTAGCATACTCTACTCTTTGGAAGCAAGTCAGTAAGCAGAGTGTAGTCCTAATTTAAGAGACTTGTTAATTGTCCTATCTGTCTGGACCCTGTTATATTTAAACCATGCCTATTATTTTTTGTACTATTTTTTGTACTTTGTGTTTAAAGCCTTAAGAATAAATAAAAACTGCCTAGGCCTAAAAAGGACTTGAAGTAGTTAGTAACTATGTTTCTCCCAGTCTTTGTATACTTGCTTTATTGGTTTTATTTAAAAATCTTCATATCCTGTGTGCTACATCCTCGTACCACGTGGGCTACTCAGTTCAAACCTTAGGAGTTCACATTACAGATTGCTTGTTGTGTTGTTTGTGGGGTGAAATTCTCAATTAATTTGATTTTTTTTGTCTGATTAGTTTTTTGAACTCAAATGACTTTACATTTTCACTTCAAGTCCATTTCTAAAGAAGAATGAAAGAAGAAGAATATTTTATTGTTTTGGCATATAATAGGAACGTTCTTGAAATGATATATATAAAAATTGTTTTTGTTCATCAAATCATCATTGTATGTGCTCTTAAGGAACCTACTATTTCAAAAAAACCCTGTAATAAGTTTGTGATGCCGAAAATGACCGACTTTGCAAATCCACATTTGTAGACACTTCATTTCATCCATAGGTGCGCACGTTTCATTAAGGTGGACTGGTTAAAGTGTGTTTTCAGAACATTAGAACTTCATGTTCCTTCTTCTTACGATTGTGAACTTACTTAAGAAATTGTTTTTAGTGTGTCAGAGGATTGTGTCTGTAAGCCCATCTTAGAATCCAGTACTAGAAGAGAAAGTTTAAAAAGTACATTTTAAGGGGGCTTTTGTTCACTTCATGGTCAACTTGGTATGACAACTCAAAAACAGAATAATGTTTTTAATCAACGGCAGGGGAAGTCCCTTCCCTGGCCCCTCAATTCTACTTTCAGTCAGTCAAAAGAGTCTTAGATTCATGTGGGGAATTCCCACGTGTTCTATAATAAGTCTCTTTAGAAGCTTTCATATATGTGTGGAATGGAGGACAGTACTGCATACGTTTTCTATCTGTTGTGTCAGTGCTGTTCAGCATACTGGTACTGTGTTTTAATATTACTCATTCTTTTTTCTAAGTATAGATGTGCAAGAATGAGAAAGGCTGAGCTTTATAAAATGAAATAGAAAAAATTAATTTGTTCTCAGGTCGGTTAAAGGCCCGTTAAATGTAAGATCTTTGGATATATGCTGGCTCTTTTTTCTGCAGTAAGTAAAGAAAACTCTAGAGAGCTTTGGAGACAGGAGGCCCCGTCAGCTGCCTTTCGCTGCACGAACCGGCCCCTCTCTGGTTAGCTGCAGGCTCTCCTGTCCTTCATGCTCAGAGGCAGGCGGAGTTTTACTGCTCAGATCTGGCAGATATGTGTCCTGCACTTACCGTCAGGTCAGATTCCTAAGGACTAGAAGTGCTCTTCAAAAAGATATTAAATGTTGAGCCATTTTGGGGAAACTATACCAGGTTGAAGATCCATGACGTACCATAGGTAATTGGTATACTCGGAAGAAGGCCAGAGAACTTGTGTGTGGACCACCTGCGCTGTGCTGCACTTTCCTGAGCTGCGTGGGCGAAGCCATGGCTTCTGGGGGGACAGGGTTATGTTTACACTCCCGTTGACTCCATTACCTTGTCCCGCCAGGGACATGTGAGAACCCCAGCAGCAAACAGGAAGCGGCCGTCCACTCCACCACTCTGCACGCGCATTTGCAAAAACAACTTAGTACCGAATGGAAGTTGTCTTCGATGAGAGGAAATCTCATAATTGGTACACAGGAGGCAGGGTGCCTGGGCGTCCTCTGCCTCGTCCTCCATGCCATGCCCGGGCCTCGGTGGGGTTTGTTGTTGGGGAAAGAGATATGGAGTACTGGGGGAGGTGGGCATAGAACAGAGGCTGTCTTTCCCTTAAGGCATTTACAAGTCCTCCCAGCCCCATCCAAAAGCCAACCAGGAGTAAAAAACAACAGCAACAAAAGTTTCTCCTGAGTTTTCCTGGTGCTTCCGCAGGTCTTTATATCTCAAAACCCTACTTAACATATTTTCACGAAAAACTAAATTTTGGTGTTCCTATGCCAGGAAGATTCCATCTCTGAGGGTACCTTGAAACTGTTACCCATCTTCTATTGCCCCCCTTTTTATGTTGCTTCTCCTCTAAGATCCCCTCTGGTTTTCCTCTGGTTGCAAAACTTCAGGGAATTGTGCATTTGAACCACCTCCTGCTGAGCTGTCTGTGCCCTCCAGTGGACTTGGGACAGTCCTTACGGGGTCCTTACGTGCCTGCTCTGAGCCGGTCTGCTGGAGAGCGCTGCATGGGCTGCCTTGTGGAGTCCAGCCCCCCTCAGTCCAGAACCACACTGCATCTCAGGGGCGGTTTTGAAGCTGCACAGTGAATACCTCATGCAGTAAAAAATTTTTTTTCAGCTTCATCTCTCTCCTACATTCATTCATTCAACAAACATTTATTACGTGCTCATTTTGAACCAGGCTCTGTGATAAGGTGAGAGATAACAGAAATAAAAAGGCCCAGCACTGTCTTCAGTAAGCTTCCAGTCTAGGGAGATAAATAGAGTGCAGTGTGGTAACAGCTTTGATACAGAAGCGCCTGGGAAGGCCTGCAGTCCAGACACTCATGGCAGATGGTTCCGGAGAAACTGATAGATGACCTAGGTTTGGGAGGCTAGAAGATGGGGGAGAAGAGGAGGGTTATAGTAAAGGAAGGAGAGTGAGAGCCAGGGGATATGTAGGCTCTGGAGGTGCTCCCGGGGGAGGTTGCTGCCTATTCAAAGGCCTATACAGTCTAGAGACTGAGGAACATGCTGGAAACCGCAGGGTGTCAGGACCTGCTTGAGGTTAGTGTTTGTTAAAGAAAACTTCTCAGACAGTTGAGTTATGAGCACGTGGCAGCGTTTTATTACAGTTTTGCAACGCAAGGGAAGAGGCCCATGGTAGGTGTATTCAGAGAATCCCTCTTGGTAGGAAGAATGATTAAATCATCATTGAAAAGAATGTCTGGTTATAAATCCTTAGACTCTGATAGCTGACAAGTCAACTGGGTGGGTGGTAGTGAGTTCCCAGAACAAACAATCTTCTTCAAGTTCATTAGAAAGTTGCCTAGAAAAAAGCATTTTATCTGGAATGCTGTTGATGTCTTTTCACTAGGATGTTGTGAATTTTACAGTAGGCAATTTGGTTCTGTTCCAGACCAGGTTTGGGGCAGTTTTTCTTTTATAGGTTCAAGGTCACAGTGGAGTGCACGTGAGTTTTCAGGGATCTGCTGGTGAAGAGCTTTGTAACCTAAGCTGAGGAGAGTTTGGATTTTTATCCTGAGGGCAATAGGGAGTCACTGAGGGAATCTTCAACCCCACCCATCAGTGTGGGGAGGGGATTAGCTGCAGTGTGAGGCTGCAGCAGCAGGGGTGGAAGTTAGTAGAATATTTTAACTCTCCAGGGGAAAAATGAGAGCTTTGAGTTCAGTCTGTCTCCTCCTTTGCCCCCCTCCTCCCCAGCCCCTCCACCTGGAGCAGCTCTGAGACAGAAGCATAGCTGCGGGGTGGAGGTGGGAATTAGCAGTTGCTTTTCCTCCAGAAGAGTCGGTTTTAACTTTTTAAATTTAAATGAAAAATTTTCTTGCCACAATAAAAGAAAAGATGGTTATGTTAGGATGAAGGTGAAAAGATTTTAGAGGAAGAGCTCAGGGAGGAGAGCCGCGACCCTTCCAGTGGGCGCTGGGCCCCCTCTGCCTCCAGCCCTGGGCCTGGTCCCCCACCCTCTCCTTCCAGGCGTGGTCCGTCTCTGTCCCGAGACACCAGAAGCAGTGTCAGAACCCAGGGTATCACCTGGACTTGGCCTCGGCCTTGAGGCTGTCCTCAGCGTCTCTGCCCTAATATGCTGTAATTACGTAAGGTTCTGTCCTCTCTCAGAAATCTGCAGGCTGAACCTGCTACTCCAGGCTGCTTCAGTGCGTCTGCTGCGGTTAAAATAGAACCTTCAGAAGTGCCCTTGCCCCAGGTTGCATACCTGGTGACGATCTGCGCTGTGTTTTCTTGTCACTATTTAACGATGTCATGGTGTCATTCTGTGCACAGGTGTAGCTAGGTTACAAGAATCCTCAGGGAACCTGAGCTCGGGCTAGGTCTCAGTCGTTTGTGGGGTCGTACCCCTGTAACCGGATTCTTCTTTGGCAGGTGTCTCTGTGGTCGTACTGTTCCAGTGTTTTCTCTGTTCTCTCATTATCATGTTTAATCACTGTCTCGTTAGCATACTGCCATAAAAATAATCCTCCATAACTACCTGCTATAAATTGTACGGGCACATTTGAGAATACGCACTTCTCTTCTAAACTTGATGTGAATAGGGACTTGCCCTTAACTTCTGTTACTCTTAGAAACATATATTCAAAATAAATAATCATTCTCCTTTTTTAAAATTGTCATCCAGGTTGCAGAAATATGTGCCTCTAAGAACTCAGGAGGACCTACTTTGTGGGAGCAAAGGTAGTGAGTCATACCTGCAAGCTTGGAAACGAGAGTTCACTTGTGCCTCTTCATCCAGTCGGGACATTTCCTCGGCAACCATTTATGCAGCAGTTAAAAGATGAGGAGTTAAGAGGTATGTACTTGGACATTTTAATCCTCAGATGCAATCCCTGTCAGATTGAAAACCTCAGTTTTCATTTTTTTCATTTAAAATAAGTAAATCAAAATGCTTAATAATTATAGAAAAGCACACTATTAAGATATGTGTATGTTTTGTGCTGTCTTTTTTTTTTTTAACATCTTCATTGAAGTATAATTGCTTTACAATGGTGTGTTAGTTTGTGCTGTATAACAAAGTGAGTCAGCTATACATAAACATATATCCCCATATCTCCTCCCTCTTGTGTCTCCCTCCCTCCCACCCTCCCTATCCCACCCCTCTAGGTGGTCACAAAGCACCGAGCTGATCTCCCTGTGCTATGCGGCTGCTTCCCACTAGCTATCTATTTTACATTTAATAGTGTAAATATGTCAATTGTGCTGTATCTTCTTGATGCTCTTTCTCTGATGGGAGTGTTTGTATATATTAATGCTGGCTTATTTGGGAAAGCAGAATAGAAGATTACTGCTTGAAGTGATTTCATTTAGCCGTGAAGTTATTTGGAAACGCAGATAATCTTTTCACATGCCTGTATCTGAGTTTTTTTATTATCAGAATATCAGCATGGGGACCAGGGAAGTCTATTAATCATTTGTTTCTTCTTTCAGTGTTCACACTTAAATTTATATCTCTCCTTATGTGTTAGTTGTTTCAGCCTCCCTTAGATGGTTGCTGAAGTGTAATGCTCTGTGGCTTGAGGGAAAATGTGGAAGGGAGTGAGGGACTCTTCCACCAAGTAGACACAACCTCGGTTTGCTAAAGGTTTCCCTCCAACTCTTCACTCTCATCCTTCTTAAATAGGTTTCTACTTGGATGTCCATGAGGATATGATAAATATTCCTCTTCCTCTGTGAAACGCTAATGCTCCCAGACTTTCTTTAACATGGACTTGCACTAATGAAAACTATAATGAGATATTGTCTCACACCGGTCAGAATGGCCATCATCAAAAAATCTACAAACAATAAATGCTGGAGAGGGTGTGGAGAAAAGGGAACCCTCTTGCACTGTTGGTGGGAATGTAAATTGATACAGCCACTATAGAGAGCAGTATGGAGGTTCCTTAAAAAACTAAAAATAGAACTACCATATGACCCAGCAATGCCACTATTGGGCATATACCCAGAGAAAACCATAATTCAAAAAGAGTCATGTACCACAATGTTCATTGCAGCTCTATTTACAATAGCCAGGACATGGAAGCAACCTAGGTGTCCATCAACAGATGAATGGATAAAGAAGATGTGGCACATATATACAATGGAATATTACTCAGTCATAAAAAGCAACGAAACTGAGTTATTTGTAGTGAGGTGGATGGACCTAGCATCTGTCATACAGAGTGAAGTAAGTCAGAAAGAGAAAAACAAATACCATTTGTATGCTAACACATATGTATGGAATCAAAAAAAAGGTTCTGATGAACCTAAGGGCAGGACAGGAATAAAGACGCAGACGTAGAGAATGGACGAGGACACGGGGAGGGGGAAGGGTAAGCTGGGACAAAGTGAGATAGTCACGTGGACGTGTATACATTACCAAATGTAAAATAGATAGCTAGTGGGAAGCAGCCGCATAGCACAGGGAGATCAGCTCAGTGCTTTGTGACCACCTAGAGGGGTGGGATAGGGAGGGTGGGAGGGAGGGAGATGCAAGAGGGAGGAGATACGGGGATATATGTATATGTATAGCTGATTCACTTTGTTATAAAGCAGAAACTGACACACCATTGTAAAGCAGTTATACTCTAATAAAGATGTTAAAATAAAAATTAAAAACAAAAACGAAAACAAAACATGGACTTGCACTAAATTCCATCTTAATGAATAAGGTGGCTTCTTTTCATGCGCCAGTGAAAGAGGAAAGTCCTACTAGTTACATGACAGGCTCGTTTTCAATAGTGTCAGAGATAATCTGAAGAGAACCATAATATTAAATCATTAGTGGTGCTAATTTTAAATAGGGCTATGCTGTGATCCTAGATCAGGTGTTCTGTAGAAATGTTAATAAACCCAAGATGAAATCTAGCGATTGGCTGTTTTCTAACTGGAGACTGAGAGAAGCCACCTCCCCACTCTGAGGGCCTGAGGGCTTCATGAACGTTTCCAACTTTTAGCCACAATAATTTGAATTTTCTTTTGGATACCTCAGTCAATTCCCTTCTGTCGCCAGCAACTTTGAGACTTTTACTGCAGAAATGTGACAGATTAAGTAGGTGAACTTTGTTGCTATGGTTTTTTATCTCCTCCCTGGGTACCTAGATCTGTGGAAGAAATTATAACAAATCCCTGGTCTAGAGTCAAGCCTCTGGACTCTTTTTTTTTCCTACAGTGAAAGTGAAAATTTACTAATTCTTAGAGTCAAAATGTATCTAAGCTACTTAATTCTTAAGTCCATTTTGACAATGACCTTTTAGTGGTACTGATGATGCAATTCTACCCTTAGTTTTAACTTCTTTCATTTAATTACATATTTGAAATGTCAGGCTGTAGTTCACGAACTTCCTTAAGTTATTTTTACACTGGGGTTATAAATAAGATAATAATTTGGCTTATTATTTTTAATATCTGTGACTTTTTTTGTGAAATAAAAATTGATTTATCAGTTGATTCATGCATTCACTGAATGTCTCCTATTTGCCAGTCACTGTATTAGGTGCTGGAGATACAAAGATTAAGACCTAGTCTCTTACTTTAAAGGTGCTAACAAGTACACAAGGAGAGGCGCATAAATAAAGATTGTTATAAGAATAGCAAACACTTCTGTAGTACTTACTATATGCCAGGCACTGTTCTAAGTGCTTCCTAGGCATTAACTTTAACTCATGTATTGATAAAAAAAGCCCTATGATGTTCTTACTATTATTTTCTCTATTTTACATAAAAACAAATTAGGGCCCGGAGAGGTTAAGCACTTGTCGAAGGTCATAAAGCTCATTTTGGTTGACAGTCGAATGTAGTTAAGTGCAGAAACAGAGCTGCCTATGGAATGCTCTGGCAGAACAGGGGAGCATCCAGCTGGGGAAATGGGGAATGGAGATGTCGTATCAGTGACATCTTCCCGAAGGAGACAGTCCCTAAACAAGTGGGGTGGAAGAGGCAGATTTCTCTTTGAAATACTTATTAACATAAATGCCGCATCATAAATGAGTTCATAGGTCAAATCAGTGACAAATACCAGAAGATGAGGAGATAGTAAAAATATACCAGATCCCTGCATCTTCAATTTAAACGACAAGGAAAAAGATTTCCCATTTTGAGGCAAACACTTATTTTCAATTGGTATAAAGTACGGTAAAAACTTGGCATTTGAAAAAATCTAATAGAAATGTTAATTTACTTATACTCTGTAAGCATGTGGGATAAATGTTTGATCCTTTGGAAGATTCTAAAATGAATGCCCCATCACTGAAGATTTTATCTTGGGAAACCTGTAGTAATCTAATAGTCTACTACTAGTATTTATTTGTGTAAACGCAGGGGAAAGATTGGTTAACATCTTTCAGATTAAAAATTGGCAGAACTACCTGATTAGGTAAGTTAGTTTCATCATTACAGAGATGAAAAACTATTCAGAAGGTGGGCTGGTGGCACCCATGCCTGGCCTGGCTGCGCTGGGTCTTTGCTTTTCCACCTTCCTGTCCATCCCCTACTTTTTTGAGCATCAGCCGTGTGTTTAACCATCCTTTTGCCCCCCACCCCCCTATAAGTCTTCTCTGCTGACTTCCTCATTACTCCCACTCATCACTGATGACTACCTCATTGCTCTCCACCCTGCCCCAGCTTCACGGGATGACCCACCTCCTTCCCTGACGGCATGGGTTTTGGGGCTTGTCTTCACCAGTGATCTCCCCAACTCCCCTCAGTTCCCCACTTCCTAGACCTTGTCTACTCATGGCTCAGATCAGTAAGTCAGAAATTCCCTCCTTGACCACATCCTCTTGTCCATCCACCTTGTCCCACAGAGTTACACCCGCTGCCTCTCCTTTGATCTCACTGAGACCTCCCTAATCAGTGGACTCCTTTGCTCTGTACTTAGCCATTAGTTCCTTCCTGTCTCTGTTTCCCTCCTTGTCCACGTAGAATCCGTGGTCCAGGTTTTAAGTCACTCTCTTGCCAGAAGCTTACACCTCCTGACCTTTCTGTCCTTTTGCTTTTGCATCCAGGCTGCTGAGCAGTGTTGGAGCGAATCCTACGAGGAGGTAGTTGGTACCTGTTGGCATAAATTGAGGTGTTGCCCAACACTGCACAGCACTTGCATGATTCTGGTTAACTGTCCTACTCGTTCTTCATGGTGCCTGTTACTAAGCTAGTCCAATCCTCAAACTCATGGTCCTTCTCCTCCCCACTTACTCTCATCAGCCGAGTTCCTGCAGTGGAACTCTCTGTCCCACCTGCCACGGAGCCTTCTCTGGTCCTGATGACCTCCTGGTTTTTCATCCACCTTTTATACTGTCTTAATTGTCTTCGTAGGTTTTCATTTCCATCAAACTGACTTCTGTTATAAGACGAGTACAGACATCTGTTTTCTCTCCTAAGTACAGTAAAACATTTTTGTGCTTCTGTCCTTTGCCTTCTGCTGGAATTTATTGGAGGGTGGCAGGCCCCTGGCTTTCTTGTGCTGTGTGTGTGTGAGCACTCACGTGGGCCGCCAACCTTCGTTCTGTGACCTTAGCCAGATGCAGTGCCAAGCCTTACACAGGAGCCACCTCCCTCGGCTGCTAGATGGTTCTGTGCTCTGCAGAGATAGTGCCCTAGGGTTTATTCTGCATACGTGCAGTAGAAGATTTGATTGGCATCTTTCAGATTAGAAATGGACAGGAATTTCGTAGATAGATCAGTTTTATTATTACAGTGTTCTAAAAGCGTTGTCTTCAGCATGGCTCACCTTTGCAGATTATCGAGGTGCACTGAGGTGAGAGATTTGGCCCCCACTTCTGCCAAGTCAGCCTCAGCTCTGTTCTCGTCTACGCC